AATATTTTATAATCATATTCTCTAATCCCCAGGCTGGAACCAATATGGCTGAATATCTCCGCCAGGCGACCAAAAGAACAAGAGACCCGAGCCCTTCGTTCTGACTCTCTGTTACAATCTCCTCTACTCCCCTGGCATTCACCATCATGAATGGGCAGGCTCTGGAGCACAAAGAATTGTTTCATTGTTGTTGTTTTACATGAATTCATATTGAAAATTGATACCTGATTGGGGTTGGGGTTGAGGAGTAGAGGGTAAAGGGTTTACTTTTCTTTAGACCCGTTCCTCAGCTTTAATCGATAGGGCTGCTGTCAGTTTAAAATGATAGATTGTGCTTCTAAAGTTTTAGTTTATTTGTGTGTTCCTTATTTGTTGTTTATCTTTTGCATGACTTCATTTTGTAACTGAAATTAATATCTTAAAATAAACATTTTGTATTTTATCTCCAATTTCTCATGGTTGGCCATATGCCATTTTAAGGAATTTCATAGACTGTAGTAACGTTGTAACATTGATTGTTATTGTTAGAAGTATTTGTACCTTTAGAAAATTAGCAGATTCTGTAATAGAGAGAAGGTCAATCTAAATAATGATAACCCAGCAATAAAGAAATAAATAACCTACTGCTGGGTCAAAAATATCCACATGTTGGGGTATGTCAAGTAACCCAAGGTGTTGGGTCATTCACATAACCCAACACTGATGGGTGAAAATTACCAAAATTGGGTCATTATTGACCCAGCATTTTTTTATTTTAAGTGTACATTTCTGTAAGCCAAGCACTTGGGACAGTTGAGGAAGTTGAGCCCCAAGTCCACAACAAACTGGGATGAGGCGTTTTAGCGCCCCCTGGTGGAGTTTTCTGTCAGTTGCTTTGTTGTTACATCGATTTGGCTCAAAGTATTCGTGTCAGTGGCCCTCTGCACACATGCCTGTAGTTATTCATAATTTGCCCCACATCCAGAGAGAGAGAAGACAGGAAAGAAACCACCATTTACCTGTTTTCATTTAAATAAACCACCATTTACCTGTTTTCATTTAATTTGAGTGGTAATTAAATAGAATTGATGTAGAATTATTTTTTAAAGACTTTTCCCAGAAATATTTTTACCAGCTCGGTGTATTCTCAAATTGAAAATAATGAGGGAGCGCTGCTCCCCGACTCTATGGCAGCATGGATTCGTTGCCATAGAAATGTACCTGGCTAAAAGGTGAGCCACTTTCATATGACTGGTTATCCCAAGTTGAACTCACAGTTGACCCAAGTTACCTTGCTAACTTCAGAAACCTGCTTCATAAGATACCTCTGGTGCATGGGAAATCATTTGATTGATTATGACGTAAGCTTAAATAAACAAACTGATACGGGCAAGAGAATTGTGTGGTTTTTCCTTTTTAAATGTTAATAAAAAAAAAACATATGGTGGATAAACTGTGTTTATGTATTTTTTTTTTAGTTTATAAACTATGTTCTTGTTCTTTATATGTTCTAGTGTTGATCTGGCACATGCACACACACACACACACACACACACACACACACACAACGTGGGATTCCAGTTCAGCAGGATAATTCCATAAGGGTTGCCACAGGACTCTTGTTGGATGTCACGCACGCTCATCGGATCCGCCTGTAAGTACCCCGTAACTCCGTCTGTCATGCTGTACTCCGACATGCCACAGTATTGAATTTAAACAGTTGTTATTATGAACTACTATCAATTTGGGCGGTTAACTGTTTGTTCAATTTATTCTCTCTTGTAAATGTGATTTAAAAGTGACTCTGTAGCTCAGCTGGTAGAGCACGGCGCTTGTAACGCCAGGGTAGTGGGTTCGATCCCCGGGACCACCCATACACAAAAATGTATGCACGCATGACTGTAAGTCGCTTTGGATAAAAGCGTCTGCTAAATGGCATATTATTATTATTACATATAACCGTCGCATTTCACACTGCTGGCTGGTGGTGCGCTTCCAGCAACAGCGCTGCTATGGCATTTGGCGAGCTCGGCTACTGTCCGCCATCAAACTGCACTTGCCTTGTTTCAAAGTTTCCTATCTGTAGTTGAACTTTTTCTTACATTTATAATAGCATTACTAAATGATTTATTTCTGTAGCCAGTGAGTGAATGAAAGTAGTCAGGCGCGCTTGCCCCTGCTGCTGCTTCTACAGAACTCCCCAAAATACATTCCGTAACCCGCCAGCTGGCGTTTATTAATATACCCCTTACCCTTTAGCAGGCTGCATTGCGGTCAGCATGGAGTAAGAAAGACCACCTATAATACGTTCCTAGACGTATTAAGATGAGCAATAGTGTCAACGAAAAAACTGCACGGAGTTGAGAAGATCTGTCAGGGGACAGTATGGGTTTTCATGTAATACACAATAGCGCTATGCTATCTCTCTGTCCTACGGTGGTCCTCTGTAGCTCAGCTGGTAGAGCACGGCGCTTGTAACGCCAAGGTAGTGGGTTCGATCCCCGGGACCACCCATACACAAAAAATGTATGCACACACGACTGTAAGTCGCTTTGGATAAAAGCGTCTGCTAAATGGCATATTATTATTTTATTATTACTACGCCTGCTGTCATAAATGTTGACATCACATATCTCTGCATGTTGCCATTGTTGATACCCCTCCCTACCCTCAGGTGACCAACAGGTCTGACATAGATAGGAAACTCCTAAAGGGGAAATCAGTAGTTGCTACATGATATGTACCCATTGATTATTGAAGAATATAACTTTGAAATGCCTTATGAGCTTAGTTAAACTGTTAACCCCATCAGAATCTAAATGATAAGCTTGTTTTACGACCATGTTTTGTAAAAAAGTAAAGACTGTATAGCCTCAAAACCTGCTTAAAACTAGAACAAATTACAAACATCCATTTAATATAATGGCTGGTCAGTCCTTGCATTGATTGTCTTTGAATTTGAGAGTATTTACATTTATTCAGTCCCATCCCCCAGCTTTTTACCAAAACAGTGGTGGTGAGATCGCTTTGTTATTGTTTCAACTGCTGATTGCCACTTTAAATAACTTCACCATGGCTATTTCAATTAAATGAAACAGTTGTATTTGGCTGGACTTAGGTATTGTATGTATGTAGATTTGTGTCGGGGAGAAAGTGTCCCTCAAAATACTTTATTCAAAAAGTTGTCTTAGGTTGCAAACTCCTGTCCAGCAGGTGGCAGTATAACATCGTTCTTGGTGATATTCAAACTCCAGTCCGGGAGGTGGCAGTATATTTGCCCAGCTTTCACACAGTCAGCTTTCTGTTTCTCTGAAGTGATGTCTTTAAAAGTGTGAGTGTCTGACAGGTCCAAAACAACATTTGGCTTTCAATTAGAAACAGCCAATGAGATCTAATAGTACTCCACTATATATATGTAGATATCAGTCTGTATGCTATAGGTCTGTAATACTCCATAGGCTGGTCAGATATCAGTCTGTAAGCTGAAGGAGAGAGGCCTTACACACACACACACACACACACACACACACGCACGCGCACACACACACACACACACACACACACACACACACACACACGCACGCACGCACACACACACGCACACGCACACGCGCACGCACACACGCACGCACACACACGCACACGCACATGTACACACGCACGCACACACGCGCACACGTACACGCACACGCACACACGCACGCACGCACGCACACACACACACACACACACACACACACACACACACACACACACACACACACACACACACACACACACACACACACACACACACACACACACACACACACACACACAGCAGGGGCTTTAGACAGAAACCCAGGGCGTCCTGGTGTCAGGGAGATTGATGTTGCTGCACAATGGGCTATAGTACTACAGGGCTGGGGTATAGTACTATAGGGCTGGGATATAGTACTATAGGGCTGGGGTATAGTACTATAGGGCTGGGGTATAGTACTATAGGGCTGGGGTATAGTACTATAGGGCTGGGGGTATAGTACTATAGGGCTGGGGTATAGTACTATAGGGCTGGGGTATAGTACTATAGGGCTGGGGTATAGTACTATAGGGCTGGGGTATAGTACTATAGGGCTGGGGTATAGTACTACAGGGCTGGGGTATAGTACTATAGGGCTGGGGTATAGTACTATAGGGCTGGGGTATAGTACTACAGGGCTGGGGTATAGTACTATAGGGCTGGGGTATAGTACTATATGGCTGGGTATAGTACTACAGGGCTGGGGTATAGTACTATAGGGCTGGGGTATAGTACTATAGGGCTGGGTATAGTCCTCACTATCTTACCTATTATTTCCCCCCTCTCTCACAGGTACTGCACCTCTCCCACCACAATCTGAGTCACACACCTGAACACCTGAACACCTGAACACCTGAACAACCACCAGAACTCCAGAACACCCACCTGAACACCTGAACAACCACCAGAACTCCTGAACACCCACCTGAACACCTGAACAACCACCAGAACACCTGACTCACACGCCTAAACACCTGAACACCTGAACACCCACCAGAACACCTGAACAACCACCAGAACACCTGAGTCACACGCCTAAACACCTGAACACCTGAACACCCACCAGAACACCTGAACAACCACCAGAACACCTGTCACACGCCTAAACACCTGAACACCTGAACACCCACCAGAACACCTGAACAACCACCAGAACACCTGAGTCACACGCCTAAACACCTGAACACATGAACAACCACGAGAACACCTGAGTCAAACACCTGATCACCTGAACACCCACCAGAACACCTGAGCCACACACCTGAACACCTGAACACCCACCAGAACACCTGAGCCACACACCTGAACACCTGAACACCCACCAGAACACCTGAACACACACCAGAACTCCTGAGCCACACACCTGAACACCTGAACACCCACCACACCCTACCACACCGCCATGGGAGAGTGCCACCAGGCAAAGTTTGACCCAAAGACCTACTTCAACTACTGCTACCAGTTTGCTGCTGTCCCGGGCCAGAAAGACAACAGCCGCTTCGTCACCTTCGTCCTCTGTCAGCTTAGCAAGACCTTCTCAACAGGTAGACAACAGGAACAGTAGGCCGCTCTGTGTCATTGATTCCAATAGTATGGAACTTCATTGGTGTGTGTAGGTGTATTGATAAGGTCATTGGTGTGTCTAGGTGTATTGATAAGGTCATTGGTGTGTCTAAGTGTATTGATAAGGTCATTGGAGTGTGTAGGTGTATTGATAAGGTCATTGGTGTGTCTAGGTGTATTGATAAGGTCATTGGTGTGTCTAGGTGTATTGATAAGGTCATTGGTGTGTCTTAGTGTATTGATAAGGTCATTGGTGTCACACTGTTGGGTAACAACAATATGTATTGATCTGAGACCTTGAAAGGAATCTATCCGGTGTACCAGTATGTACAGTGCATTCGGAAACTATTCCGACCCCTTGACCTTTTTCCACATTTTGTTACGTTACAGCCTTATTCTAAAATGGATTAAATAGTTTTCCCCCCCTCATCAATCTACTCATAATACCCCATAATGACAAAGTGAAAACAGGTTTTTAGATTTATTTGTAAATGTATAAATAAATAAATAACTGAAATATAACATTTCCATAAGTATTCAGACCCTTTACTCAGTACTTTGTTGAAGCACCTTTGGCAGTGATTACAGCCTCCAGTCTTCTTGGGTATGATGCTACAATATTGGCACACCTATATGTGGGGAGTTTCTCCCATTCTTCTCTGCAGATCCTCTCAAGCTCTGTCAGGTTGGATGGGGATCGTTGCTGTACAGCTATTTTCAGGTCTCTCCAGAGATGTTCGATCGTGTTCAAGTCCAGACTCTGGCTGGGCCACTCAAGGACATTCAGAGACTTGTCCCGAAGCCACTCCTGCGTTGTCTTGGCTGTGTGCTTAGAGTCGTTGTCCTGTTGGAAGGTGAACCTTCGCCCCAGTCTGAGGTCCTGAGCGCTCTGGAGCAGGTTTTCATCAAGGATCTCTCTGTACTTTGCTCCGTTCATCTTTCCCTCAATCCTGACTACCGTAATTTTCAGACTATTAGCCGCGCCTTTTTTCCCATTTTTCGACCCTGAGGCTTATATAACAGTCTATGGATTTTTACAGCTAACGGCCACTAGAAGACCTCCTAAATCTATGGATTTTACAGGTTACAGTCCACCAACTTTAACTCTATGGGCTCTATGACCGGTCCGCGCCCCCCACCTTTAAGCGGCAGGCAAGTGGAAGGGTACCATTTTTTGGTACCCTTCCCCAGATCTGTGCCTCGACACAATCCTGTCTCTGAGCTCTACGGACAATTCCCTCGACCTCATGGCTTGGTTTTTGCTCTGACATGCACTGTCAACTGTGGGACCTATAATAGACCGGTGTGTGACTTTCCAAATCATGTCCAATCAAGTTGTAGAAACAACTCAAGGATGATCAATGGTAACAGGATGCACCTGAGCTCAATTTCGAGTCTCATAGCAAAGTGTCTGAATACTTAAGGTCTTTTTATTTTTATTTTTTTTATACATTTGCAAAAATGTCTAAAAACCTGTGTTCGCATTGACATTATGGATTATTGTGTGTAGATTGATGAGGAAATGTTTTTATTTAATCCATAATAAGGCTGTAACATAACAAAATGTGGAAAAAGGGAAAGGGTCTGAATACTTTCCCGAATGCACTGTATGTAATGGACGGTTAAATAAACATCAACTTAGAATGAATGAATGAAAGGATACTGTGTTGTTCCTCTCCTCAGGGAAGTACAGGGGCCAGAGGCTGGTAGAGGTGGGAACAGGGCCAACCATCCACACTCTGATCAGTGCCTGTGAGTACTACGATGAGATTGTGGTGTCGGACTACGTGGACAGCAACAGGAGGGAGATCGAGAGGTGGCTGAGAGCCGAGGAGGGATGTTTCGACTGGAACACTCACCTCCAGTACGTCTGTGATCTGGAGAGGAAAAGGTGCGGTAATAGACAAATCCTGTTGTTTTTTACAATAACTTACTGCCAGCTAGTTACCTGAAATTTACTGTAAAAAAAAAGGTACAGTATGTTACCATGAATTCCAAAGAAACTTACTGTAAAGTTTACTTTTTTTTTTTTTTTTTTTTTTTACAGTTCAGATATGGGTTAGAAGTGAGCTTATATGGTTTCAACTATGGTTACATTTCTTTTTGTAAATGTAGGCGTCCTTCTTTCCTTCCATTCGCTTAAATTCTTTCTTGTAATCACTGTATTGTATTTATTTATAAAAAAAAAACACATTCTCCTTCTGTCTCTGTCTCTCACAACCTCCCTCCCCAGAACCCCAGCGATCGTCACAGACACTCTCCGTCAGAGGGTTAAGCAGGTTCTAAAGTGCGACATCTGCCTGGAGAACCCATTCCACCCTGTCACGGTTCCACCGGCGGACTGCGTCCTTTCCTCGCTGTGCCTGGAGGCAGCGTGTAAGGACCGCGAGTCCTACCACCGTTCGCTGTCCTCCATGGTGGGCCTGCTGAGGTCTGGAGGGGTCCTGGTCCTGATCGGCGACCTGGATGAGACCTACTACACGGTGGGAGAGCAGAGGTTTGACTGTGTCAACCTGAGTGAGGAGTTCATCACTGAGACGCTGTCAAAGCTGGGGATGTGTGTGGAGGAGTTCACTCTGCAACAGGCTGAGGACAGGGACAGCAACCGCAAGTGTGACTACGCAGCCTCCTTCCACCTCATCGCCATCAAACACTGATCGGTCATAAACTAACTGATTAATCATTCATATTATAATAAATACAACTCTGTTTATGTTTTGCGACAGTATCTGGTTTGATTTTAATTGATTCTCTGTGTAGTTTTTATTTGATACATTTTTAGAGTAGCCTGGAGCCAACCAGTCTGTTTGCGCTCACATTTCACAGCTCGCATGTTTATGTAAGAACTATGATCAGTGTTTTGGACTGTCTGTTTCCACCCTGTGGTTGCGTGTTTGGAATGGATTATTATCTCTCCTTTTAAGGGACAGGGAGAGATAGGCATCGATAGGATGTCAGGCAGGAACATTCACTCTGCATCCCAAATAACCCTGGTCAAAAGTAGTGCACTACATAAGGAATAGGCTGCCATTTGGGACGAAGATACAGCCTGCCCCACTCGGTCCCTAATGGTCCTTTTACCTGTCAGATAAATGTCTGGTAGATGACCACAGAGACCACTTTGATTAAAACAAATCAGAAGGGTCATGTGATGGTGGAGGGATCAGTATGATTTCTCCTCCTCCTCCTCCTCCTCCTCCTCCTCCTCCTCCTCATCTTCCTCCTCCTCCTCCTCCTCCTCCTCCTCCTCGTCTTCCTCCTCCTCCTCCTCCTCCTCTTCCTCCTCCTCCTCCTCCTCCTCCTCGTCTTCCTCCTCCTCCTCCTCCTCCTATTCGCGTTCTCCAGAAACATAGAAGTCTCTCTTTGTTTACCCAGCTGTGTGTCTCAATTCAATTCAAAGGGCTTTATTGGCATGGGAAACGTGTGTTAACATTGCCAAAGCAAGTGAAGTAGATAATAAACTAAAGTGAATTAAACAATAAATATTAACAGTAAACATTACACTCAGAAGTTCCAAAAGAATAAAGACATTTCAAAAGTCATATTATGTCTATATACAGTGTTGTAACGATGTGCAAATAGTTAAAGTTCTTGGTTGGTGAGTGGACCCCAGACCTCACAATCATAAAGGGCAATGGGTTCTATAACTGATTCAAGTATTTTTAGCCAGATCCTAATTGGTATGTCAAATTTTATGTTCCTTTTGATGGCGTAGAAGGCCCTTCTAGCCTTGTCTCTCAGATCGTTCACAGCTTTGTGGAAGTTACCTGTGGCGCTGATGTGGCGCTCCCTCCCTCCCTCCCTCCCTCCCTCCCTCCCTCCCTCCCTCCCTCTCTCCATCCCTCCCTCCCTCCCTCCCTCCCTCCCTCCCTCCCTCCCTCCCTCCCTCCCTCCCTCCCTCCCTCCCTCCCTCCTCTCCATCCCTCCCCTCCCTCCCTCCCTCCCTCCCTCCTTTTTTATTGCTCCTTCTCTCTCAAACAGGCACATTTCATTTCTGGGAGCAGAAAGAGAACTCAGGAGATATTTATTAAACCTGATGTTATCGTGAAAAACCTCCTCTTTCTCGGTGCATGCATTGTGTGCAGTACTGTTTGCGTGGCTCTGTTCAAAAACTTTAAATTCCCTGTTTTCCTGAAGTAGCCCACATTGTGTTAGATCCCTGGGTTCATGGCTGATCTATGACCAGTTTTGCATTTTAGATCATAATGAATAAGATTTGACGGACAGGGTGGGACCTGATCCTAAACCAGCGCTCCTACACTGAGACAGGAGTCCAAATGACCATACTTGCATCCTAAATAGTGGGCCGTTTGAGTATGCAGAAAATAATGTTTTATAGTATGTGACATTTCGAAAATCAAGGATACTTTAAATGCCCGGATGTCATACTCATTTCAGCTTTGACAACAGCTGATCATCAGGACCAGAAGGGGATGAGCTACCGAAAAATAACCAATAACACAAAAAAACTATGCAATCGCGTATGGCACATTCTCAGCATGCGAAAATAGAACGTTTTACAGTATGTGCATTTTCTAAAATCGAGTACGGTTTAAATGCCAGGATGTTATACTCATTTAATCTCTTCATCTAGTAGAATTTGATGCATACTTTCCCACAATGCATTGGAAGAGGTGGGCTGTGAGTGATAGGCCCTAGTTCTTTTCAAGTAGCCACACAATAAAAACTAGGCTATTTAACTAGGAAGATGCCGAATAGCGAAGTGGTATTGTTAGAAATGTAGGCTAAGAAGTTTTTATTCTCCTTAAAATGATTACGAGTATTGTGTTTCACGCCTCGGACTGAGACGTGGTCAGCAGATAATAAACCTGAATTAACAGGGTGGAGTGATGAGACGGAGAAACCTTAGTGATGTTCAGTGGTACGCCTTCTACAAGATCTATTCAAATATTGTTCTCCTTTGTTAATCGTTTTTTGTTGTCAAAATCAATTATCCATTACAACTCCATTGTAGTACTGAATCTTCACATTTCATATTCCAGTATCAAAAAAAATAAAAGGTCTCAGGTTCAAAAAAAATCACCGTACATCTACACATTCACATTATATAATAACTGACTGTACGGTAGGTTGATGTACAGGACACCCCCCTGGAAGGACACTAGTCTATCTCCTGTTTCTGTAGTGAGGTAGCTTGATGTACAGGACACCCCCCTGGACAGGACACTAGTCTATCTCCTGTTTCTGTAGTGAGACAGCTTGATGTACAGGACACCCCCTGGACAGGACACTAGTCTATCTCCTGTTTCTGTAGTGAGACAGCTTGATGTACCAGTACACCCCCTGGACAGGACACTAGTCTATCTCCTGTTTCTGTAGTGAGGTAGTTTGATATACAGGACACCCCCTGGACAGGACACTAGTCTATCTCCTGTTTCTGTAGTGAGACAGCTTGATGTACAGAACACCCCCTGGACAGGACACTAGTCTATCTCCTGTTTCTGTAGTGAGGCAGCTTGATGTACAGAACACCCCCTGGACAGGACACTAGTCTATCTCCTGTTTCTGTAGTGAGACAGCTTGATGTACAGGACACCCCCTGGACAGGACACTAGTCTATCTCCTGTTTCTGTTGTGAGACAGCTTGATGTACAGTACACCCCCTGGACAGGACGCTAGTCTATCTCCTGTTTCTGTAGTGAGACAGCTTGATGTACAGGACACCCCCTGGACAGGACACTAGTCTATCTCCTGTTTCTGTAGTGAGGTAGCTTGATGTACAGGACACCCCCTGGACAGGACGCTAGTCTATCTCTTGTTTCTGTAGTGAGGTAGCTTGATGTACAGGACACCCCCTGGACAGGACTCTAGTCTATCTCCTGTTTCTGTAGTGAGGTAGTTTGATATACAGGACACCCCCTGGACAGGACACTAGTCTATCTCCTGTTTCTGTAGTGAGGTAGTTTGATATACAGGACACCCCCTGGACAGGACACTAGTCTATCTCCTGTTTCTGTAGTGAGACAGCTTGATGTACAGAACACCCCCTGGACAGGACACTAGTCTATCTCCTGTTTCTGTAGTGAGACAGCTTGATGTACAGGACACCCCCTGGACAGGACACTAGTCTATCTCCTGTTTCTGTTGTGAGACAGCTTGATGTACAGTACACCCCCTGGACAGGACGCTAGTCTATCTCCTGTTTCTGTAGTGAGACAGCTTGATGTACAGGACACCCCCTGGACAGGACACTAGTCTATCTCCTGTTTCTGTAGTGAGACAGCTTGATGTACAGAACACCCCCTGGACAGGACACTAGTCTATCTCCTGTTTCTGTAGTGAGACAGCTTGATGTACAGAACACCCCCTGGACAGGACACTAGTCTATCTCCTGTTTCTGTAGTGAGACGGCTTGATGTACAGGACACCCCCTGGACAGGACACTAGTCTATCTCCTGTTTCTGTTGTGAGACAGCTTGATTTACAGTACACCCCCTGGACAGGACGCTAGTCTATCTCCTGTTTCTGTAGTGAGACAGCTTGATGTACAGGACACCCCCTGGACAGGACACTAGTCTATCTCCTGTTTCTGTAGTGAGGTAGCTTGATGTACAGGACACCCCCTGGACAGGACGCTAGTCTATCTCTTGTTTCTGTAGTGAGGTAGCTTGATGTACAGGACACCCCCTGGACAGCACACTAGTCTATCTCCTGTTTCTGTAGTGAGACATCTTGATGTACAGGACACCCCCTGGACAGGACACTAGTCTATCTCCTGTTTCTGTAGTGAGGTAGCTTGATGTACAGGACACCCCCTGGACAGGACACTAGTCTATCTCCTGTTTCTGAAGTGAGACAGCTTGATGTATTGGAAACCCCCTGGACAGGACACTAGTCTATCTCCTGTTTCTGTAGTGAGGCAGCTTGATGTACCAGTACACCCCCTGGACAGGACACTAGTCTATCTCCTGTTTCTGTAGTGAGGTAGGCTGATGTACAGTACACCCCCTGGACAGGACACTAGTCTATCTCCTGTTTCTGTATTGAGGTAGGTTGATGTACTGGACACCCCCTGGACAGGACACTAGTCTATCTCCTGTTTCTGTAGTGAGGTAGTTTGTTATACAGGACACCCAATGGACAGGAAACTAGTCTAGCTCCTGTTTCTGTAGTGAGGTAGCTTGATATACAGGACACCCCCTGGACAGGACACTAGTCTATCTCCTGTTTCTGTAGTGAGACAGCTTGATGTACAGAACACCCCCTGGACAGGACACTAGTCAATCTCCTGTTTCTGTAGTGAGGTAGGTTGATGTACTGGACACCCCCTGGACAGGACACTAGTCTATGTCCTTTTTCTGTAGTGAGGTAGTTTGATGTACAGGACAACCCCCTGGACAGGACACTAGTCTATCTCCTGTTTCTGTAGTGAGGTAGTTTGATATACAGGACACCCCCTGGACAGGACACTAGTCTATCTCCTGTTTCTGTAGTGAGGTAGTTTGATATACAGGACACCCCCTGGACAGGACACTAGTCTATCTCCTGTTTCTGTAGTGAGACAGCTTGATGTACAGAACACCCCCTGGACAGGACACTAGTCTATCACCTGTTTCTGTAGTGAGGCAGCATTGATGTACAGAACACCCCCTGGACAGGACACTAGTCTATCTCCTGTTTCTGTAGTGAGACAGCT